GGGCGGTTTTGGGGGATTTTGGGGATCCTGGGGTGGATTTTGGGCTCCCGGGGTATATTTTGTGGCAGTTTTGGGGGATTTTGAGGTCCTGGGATAGATTTTGGGGGTCTCGATGTGGATTTTGTGGCAGTTTGGGGGGATTTTGGGGGTCCCGAGCTGGATTTTGGGGCTCCCGGGGTTGATTTTTGGGTGGTTTTGGGGGATTTTGGGTGTCCTGGGGTGGATTTGCCAGCGGGATTTTCCCATTTCCCAGCAGCCCAGAGCTCATTTTTGTAGCTCCCCCAGGACGTTTCTGGAGCTGCCCCAGGACCGAGGACAGAGCACAGCACGAAACCAAATTTCCCTCCCAAATCTTTCCTGTCCTCTCCAGACCACCTCGAAAATTAGGGCCAATATTTTTCCCACCCGTCCGCTGCCGATTCCCTCGTTTTTACCCCAAAATCTTCGTGCTGTCCCCTCCACACTCACACAGAGTGTCCATCACAGAGTGTCCATCCCGTCCCCTGCAGGTCCCTGGGCACACGGGGAGGTCCCTTTGCCCACGGGGCCTTTCTCACCACCTAAAAGGAAAAAAAGAAGAAGGATTTTGGGTGTCCCGGGGTGGATTTTGAGGTTCCCCCATGTGGATTTTAGGGCGATTTTGGGGGATTTTGGGGCGGTTTTGGAGGATTTTGGGGGGTCCCTGTGTGGATTTTGGGTGTCCCTGGGGTGGATTTTGTGGCGCTTTTGGGGGATTTTTGAGTCCTGGGGTTGATTTTGGGGTGGTTTTGGGTGGTTTAAGGTTTGCCGGGTATGTTTTGGGGCAGTTTTGGGGGATTTTGGGGCGGTTTTGGTGGGTTTTTGGGGTCCTGGGGTGGATTTTGGGGCGGTTTTGTGGGATTTGGGGTCTCAGGGTGGCCTTTGGGGTGGTTTTGGGGGATTTCGGGGGTCGGGGGGTGGATTTTGGGCTCCCAAGGTAAATTTTGGGGTGGTTTTGGGGGATTTTGCGAGTGCCAGATAGACTTTGGGCCTCCCGGGGTGGATTTTGGAGGTCCAGGGCTGGATTTTGGGGCTCCTGGGGTGGATTTTTGGGGCTCCTGGAGTGGATTTTTGGTCACTTTTGGGGATTTTGGGTGTCCTGGGGTGGATTTTGTGGCGGTTTGGGGGGATTTGGGGTCTCAGGGTGGCCTTTGAGGTGGTTTTGGGGGATTTTGGGGGTTGTGGGGTGGATTTGGAGCTCCCGAGGTAAATTTTGGGGTGGTCTAGGGGGATTTTGTGGGTGCCGGGGTGGATTTTGGGGTCCCCGGGGTGGATCTTGGGGCGGTTTTGGGGGATTTGGGGGCTCCCGGGGTGGATTTTTGGGGCTCCCAGAGTGGAATTTTGGTCGGTTTTGGGGATTTTGGGTGTCGTGGGGTGGATTTTTGGTCGGTTTGGGGGATTTTGGGTGTCCTGGGGTGGATTTTGTGGCGGTTTTGGGGGATTTTTGGGGTCCTGAAGTGACAGGCCCCTGCAGCCAGAGCTCAGCACACGGACACAGAGAGGCAATTCCACCACCTAAAGGGAAAAAAAGAAGAAGGAAAATAGTGATTTATTTGGCTTTAAAGTTATCGGAAGTTGCTTAAACCACATCAACGCTCACTCTGGGTTTCTGCTGGGTGAACAACGAGCAGCAGGCAGGTTGTTAATGCTGATGATGAGGATGATACTTTCTGGGGGCAAGACCAGCTGAGTTCCCAAGCTCAGTTCCTGCCCCAAGGGCTGATCGGCACAGGAGAAAACCCCTTCCAAGGAGTGCTTTTGTTCCATGTCACAACCTCTGCCCAGCCCGTTCCCTGGACACGGTGCCAGGCTGGACACGGGCACACGGAGCTCTGGGCACTCCCTTCTCCAAACACAGTCAAGGGGCTCTTTGCAAACTGCCTCTGCCACTCGGGTTTGCTCCGGGAGGAATGAAGGAATTGCTGCAGGAGAACCTGCCCCAGCCCCAGGCTGAGCACCAGGCACTGGGCTGGGCAGGGAAGGACCCTCCCCTGGCTGCTGCAGCTGGAGGGGGATCCAGCTACCAAGGGAACCCCGGGAACAGTTTATAAACACTCCCCTTCCCTGCTACTCACTCCTTCCTCACACAACCGTGGAGCAGCTTTACTCCACCCTTTGTTCCCAGCAGCAGCTCTCCAGCCCCAATCCCAGCTCCCACAGACACAAACTAAACACACACGAGGCAATGGTTCCATCAGCACCCGGAATTCCAGGCTCCCCATTCCCTGGAATGCTCATCCCAACACTCACAGCGATCTGCCCTCAGCCCACAGGCTCCCTGTCCTCCCAGGGAAACACAACCTGCTGGGACAGCTCTGGCACCTCCTTTCCTCTCATTCCTGCTCTCCTGCAAAGCCCCCAGGGAAATCCAATCCCTCAGACCCCGAATCCCTGGACACGAGGGCAACTGGAGCCCGACCCGGATCCCGGTGCCCTGGACAAGTGTGTTCCCACGAGCACATGCCCAGGGCTCCATCCAGCCCATCCATCCCTCAGTTCCTTCCCTGCCGAGACTCCCAAACCCTCCCGGCCCTGCCGGGACTCCCAAACCCTCCCGACCCTGCCAGGACTCCCAAACCCTCCCAAACCCTCCTGGCCCTGCCGGGACTCCCAAACCCTCCCCGGCCTCCCAAACCCTCCCAAACCCTCCCGGCCCTGCCCAGCTCTGTCCCGTGCCTGGGGCTCCATCCAGCCCATTCATCCCTCTGTCCTTTCCCTGCCGGGATTCCCAGTGAGTTTGTGTTTTGGAGAAACTTCTTGAACTGTGTTTATGTCCCTTCTAAATATGATTTCTGCTGGTATTGTGCCAAACAAGTCAGCAGCAGGAACACCGGGGAAATAGCGACAAAGACAATTTGATTTTGGCCTGAAGTCACACCAGGATAATTCAGAGACCAAAGGCATCTGAATCCATGCAGCCAACACAGATTAATTTGAAGGGCCAGAAGGAATTGCACACAGGACACATGCTGGTCACAAACACACAGAATTATCCAGGGGTTAGTTCCAAAGGTACAGACCACTGAGCAACAGTGGTCATCCACCTTTCAGGAAAATAAAGAGGGAAAAGCTAAATACCAAATTCTACTCCAACACCTGTCACGCAGATACTGGAACCAGTTTCCAGCACCTGGAAACTCTCCATAGTCACTAACAGTGTGGATAAAGGGCTCTGCAGCCC